TTAAGTCGTCTTCTTCGCCGTTGTCGTCGTCCGGTCTCCCCCCGTTCGAGAAGGGGGGAAGGGGAGGGTGAGGAGGGCGGAGGGAGGCCCAGGCACCTGCCCCCTTAGTAGTATGGCATGCAACCCGCCCTCGAACGGCAGCACACATGTGACGTGGGGGAAGGCGGGGGCGCGGTGGGGGCGGGGCGGGTCGCACACTCTGCCTATACGTTCGCTGCTCTTCAACAAATGAGACTCGGCCGCCCGCACGCAACCTACCCCCTGTCTCTCGCTCTGTGTGTGTGTGTGTGTGTGTGTGTGTTCACCGGCAGTCAGTGGTGTCTACCCCTCTTAATCCCTCCGCCCCCCATACCTCTTCTCGGAATGGAACAAGCGACAACGCTTTCCGATGGAGCCAGGAGCCACGAGAGTCGTGCCTGTTGGTGGTTTACTGTAGAGAGAGGGAGAGAGACTCAATGTGAGGGTAACGAGAGGGGAATGAAAGTTAAGGAGTTCAGAAAAAGTAGGTCATTGGATTATGCAAAACAAAATTAGTTTACAAAGGAAGGGCGCGTTTTGGAGTAGCAAGCAGTCTCATTTATTTTCACTTTGGGTATATGCTTAAATACATGTGCTCGGTTCATTTTCGGGTAAGTTGCCACGAAACCGAGTAGACGGTGTCACTGATGCGCACTGATGTGTGGACTTATCACAGCGAATGCCGTGTGCTGTGCTCACGCAAACGCCGGCCCGCCAAGTCTTTTCTGGAAACTCTGTCTGGGAGCAAGTCAGCTCTGCTAGTACCTGAAGTACGAACAAAAATATAAGTAAATCCTAAAAGAAGCAAAGTTTGAGCCGTGTTGTTCACTCAACGGCAACGAGGCGGCCATAGACCACCATCCATATTAATGACACATTCTAAGAAATTATTCCTTTTCATAACACTGGATGACTAAGGCCTCCTCTGGTAAATACTGGTATGTGTTTCGGTCATTTTCGTCATAACTTAAGGGGGAAGTGGTGCTGCAATATCAGTACGAGAGTATCCCCGCTTTCCCCCGACTAGCTTATTATTCTTTTAAGAGGACACTCTTTCACTCCTTAATTTTTTTAAAGAGGACACTCGTTTGCTCCTTATTTTTTTTTTTAAAGAGGACACTTGTTTGCTCCTCAACCGTACTGCGGCTATAGAAACATTATGGGCCCGTCATTTTAATGCACGATATGGAATGAAAAAGAGAGAGAAACCAAACTCGGAGCCGCCGCAAGAGGTGGGGTCCAGGGCCGCGCGCCGAGTCGACCGCGCCACCGCACCTCGCGCTGCCCTGACACGGTCATGAGGAGGAATGAGCTCGTGGGCTGTATCGGGAAGGCGAGCGGCCGCGCTTGTAACTTCTCGTGAACCCTCTGAACACACAAGAGCACTTCCGTCCAACGTAATAAAGCAAATTATGCGCGGGAATCTCACCCCCTCACCCCCCCCCCCCTCCGTGAAACCCTCCCACCCTTCGCTGCTCGAAACTCCCCCGCACCTCCACACAGCGCTCTCTTTTCCGTCCCTTTTCATTTAGTTGATGACAACAGGCCTTGTTCAGCCCGGCCTCAGACTGGTGGAGAGTGAGAGGGGGAGTGCCTCTCTGAGCTCATTTCTATCGCAGCTAACATTACTTTTATAAATTTTTCGAATGGGTGCAGTTTGATTGCGTTATTTACAAAATTTTCAGGAGTGTCGCCACGTCATCATTGTGATATGAAAAATAATAAGTGAAAGTAAAAATAATAAACCTTTCATGAAAACCGTAGCACACGTGATCTCCTCCTATACCCTTCTTCGCCATCGCCATCCCCTCATTGGTTCCAGTGGAAGCAATATAAAGCTGATCGTGAGCGCGCGCGTGTGTGTGTGTGTGTGTGTGTATGTGTGCGAGTGTAGGAGGTGCAGCCCTCGCCCAGGCCTGTGCTGATATTGCCTCCTGTGTCTGCGTTTGATTGAGACCGGCGACGCCTCCTCCTCCTCCTCCTCCTCCTCCTCCTCCTCCTCCTCCT